GATTTAAACATCAAATACAAAAAAAGACTATAAAATAAGGTAAGGAAAGTATTTGCTATTTGTTGTTTGATTAACTTGAAATGATATTTGTAGAAATACAAACTTGATCCAAGAAATGCTTTTATTCTGAAAGGGATAAACTGGAAGTATCACAAGTTAGACAGATCTAACTCTGATTTGGATTGGGCAATTTTCCCACAAATGATCCCACCGACCTTCAAATTAAACTGATAGAATCAAACTAACAGGTTTGTGTCAGTGTTCCACTGGAAGGAGATGAAGAYGTTGACATTAGCTTCCACTGAATATTTTGTCAGTTTAGCAGATTAGCAATTAGCGGAGCTAAGATTCTTGTTGAGTTTATTAGTAAGWTAAACAGATACTTCAATAATCCCAGGGGGAAAATCAAGGCATCCAGTAGCATTTGCTTATGTTGCACAAGGTCAATAAAGATTGATAAAAAGAAATAAGTTATGAAATGTGAAAAATAAAAAGCAAAGATCAATAAAAATGGAGGCCAAATCTTTTAAAAAGTTCTCAGTGAACCTGACTTTTTGGTGCAAACCACTAAAAGTCAGTTATTATAGTACTAATAGTATCAAGGAATTTTATCAATAACAAACAAACTCACTCATTATCTGTTTGTTGTGATAAGTAAACACACCTGAAGCTTTTATTTTAGTCTTTTGAGCACTTTTTCACATGTCTTGAAAAAAGATCAGTATTTTTTCTCGGTCATTTCCTCTCACCTGCAGCACCACAGCGCCCACCACAGCCAGCACAGCCAGCAGCAGCATGCGACCCACCCAGCCCAGGTTGAAGGTCTTCAGGATGAAGAATCGCGCCCAGCCCAGTTTTTTAGGGGTGTGAGGCGGGTACCTCATTTTGTTCACCCCCTCCATTTTCAGCTGCTTAATGAGACAGCCGCGCAGGTGGCTGAGCTGGTCGAAGCTGAACCTGCCGTGATAGCAGCCCATACCGCTGTTCCCTGTGGGAGAACCCATTTCATTTAATGTTAGAGGGTTTTAATCAGACTAAAACATGGAGAATAAAGTCTTTAAAGCTGTGAACAGGGTTTTTAACCTCTTTAGCCCCAAGGGGTTTTCTTCAAGTTTTTGCACAAAATACTACGCCAAAATGTAACTGAGTGTATGTCAGCATTTACAGACTCTACTTAAATAATCTTGGTATCAAAATAAAGCTAACACTTGGTAGAGTTCACCAGAAGTATAAGTATTAAAACAGCTGCTGTGGTTTTAGAGATATTGGGGATGAAACATAATTTTTAAATTTATTTTTTCACTCACACCTGAATGTTTTTTTCATTAGACAAAATATAACCCATTTAAAACCATAATGAATCAGGCTAAAAACTCTTGGAAACCATATATCCACTTGTGGACATTACC